TAGAGACTACACCTGTGGTCCGATTTCGATGAAATTTGGTATGTAGGTTCTAATCCATGGTATCTCCAGGCATTTTTTTTCATTTTTTTGGAATTTTGATTTTTAATGGGGATTTTCCCATAAAACCCCATAAAAAACCGGAAAAATCGGATTTTCTCAAAAATGGCCCGAACGATTTTGATAAAAATTTAGTATGTTGTAGCCCTTTAAATTCTAAAAAAAAATGGTACAAATCCCATTTCTGTAAAAATTACGGTGCAAAAGTTATTGTAAATTATGTTATTTCCCATAAAAACCCCATGAAATAACGGAAAATCGGATTTTCCCAAAAATGGCCCGAACGATTTTGATAAAAATTCGGTATGTTATAGTCCTTTAAATTCCGAACAAAATTGTACAAATCCCATTTCCGTATATTTACTCTTAGCGCTTACACGTGATAAAGGCTGTTGACAAACTTATGGGAGAAAGTATGTGTCAGAATGCTGATACCGTTTATTTAAATTGTAAACTAAACAACACACATTTATTGGGAATTACTGAATTGTCCAAAAGAAGTATTTGCAATGTTATTTTCTGATTTTAAAATTGATTTTCGTCTGTATCATGTCATGTTTTGCATTATAACGTTCCATTACGATATCAGTGGAAAATCCTTTTATCACAGTAACTCTTACAATTATTTCTTATTGAACTATCTTATATCTATTTTACGGGTTGGTGTCTGCATTTTTCAGCACTTTTGCCTATATTTTATCATATTATTCTAGACAGATCATCATAGGTTCATGAGATTATTGTCATACATGTTACAAACATTTTAAAATACTTGTGTAGAAATATGTGCATGATTTAGAAAGTCATTAAGCTGGAAACTTGCTATATACTGCAGACTTTTCAGAGAGGTAACTTTGATGTATTCATTCATCTTAGTGAAAACATAATATAGATATGTAAATAAGAACTTGAACTCTTAGAGAGCCTTTGAATGTTATAAGACTAACGAAAAGGGTTGTGCATGTTTACTAGCGCTACTCAGCAACAAAATCCATTTAATTTATCCCTAAAAAATACATTCTTAAAGTGCACTGAGCAGCAGCCTAAAAAAATCTCTGTAACTTACCTATATAGTTACAAAATGTTCAACTCGCAATGTGACATTTTATAATTCCGATCATACTTCTCCAACAGATAATTTATCTGCAGAAGAAGTTTATTGTTCTCTTAACGTGTCTAATAACATCCAAACACAGAAACCTTGCCTAAAATGGTACCTATCTTGACAAATTATTTGCAGTGGCCTATATTACGGACCGTGGCCCACTGGGTTGGTAACATTATTGAAAATAACACAAAATTTTTGCTGTAAAAAATAGCACAATGAGTAAATACTATTTAACACGTTCGCTGCTGGCGTTGTATTTTTACAACGTGCCTACCCGGCGCCAGGAGCTAGCGTTGTACATATACAACGCTGTGTCATTGTTGTTTAACGTTTCCATGGATCAGCCAGCTCGTCACGAGCGTCCTATACTTATTTCTTTGCAGCTCGTGGGGACGTACTTTTCTGACAATAAAAAATATAGTTTCCCAAAATCCCCACCAGGGTCGTTTAGAACAGGGCTTTGTCCCCACCTCTTTTCTGCTAGATAGCGACACTACTTTACCGACTGCAACCTGGGTAATGCTACTATCTATCAGAATCGCTTGGTACTATGTCCAAAGCCAGTTTTATTGCCATCCAGTATAACTACTGTTTTTACTGTAATTCAGTGTGTCGGCAGCAATGTTTATGCAGCGACAAGCGTTAGTTCAGCTCCTGGCGCCGTCCCGGCATCTAGCGGTCAGCAGCGAACGTGTTAAGCAGCTACTGTCATGACAGGAAGGTCATTTTAATTTAAAACTAGATTGCATTTATAAGATACGTTGATTAAAAATGCATGTAAACGTCAATATTTACCTAACAGCCAATTTACAGTATTTTTTTGCTTTTTGGAAATGCCACATTGCTATGTTATTTACATTATTTGCTACCAATGAAGCCGCACGACCATATAAAGAGGAGGCCCCAGTTCAAGAATAAAAGCCAACTTCACTTCAAGTATATTCCACTACACCTAACATTCCGTAGAGAGATTATATTGACAACTTTATGTGGGTAATTAAAAAGGCTGAGACAACTAACTGACATCCCCCATGTCAATGCATTCTAGCGACTGTTTACATTGAAATGTCAACGCAAAGGTAAACAAAGATTGTGAATTTTCTCATGCTTCCATGGAGACCAATTAATTAATATTTACTTTTGAAAACCTCACCTCAAAACTTTGGACATCCAATGGGCGTAGCCTGGGAGGAACTCAGGGAAGTGAATAGTCCTATGACATTCCTAGGTATGTGGACAATCTGTGTGCTTAAATTGGCTGTATCGGTTTAGTATTTTAGTCGTGGCAGCCAGACAGACAGACACCACCTCAATTTTATAATAGTATAGAATAAAATATAATAGATAGATATATAGGTATAGATTAACATTTAAAGTAGCCCTCATTGGTGTAAATAATAACAAAATATATATATTAATTTGAAAGGATATTGTTTTTGACCTCTGGGGACATCAAAATGAAAAAATAAATCGGTCGCAGGTCCAACTTACTGTCTTACCATGAGACCTATGGTAATAACTTATTCTCCAAATGGGAAATTCACTAAAATACCCTGTAGGTGTTCTTCAGGATAAGATAAGTTCAAAAGCAAGAACTAGACAAAAATACAAGTTATTTTAACATTTTTTATGAGCTCGCTTTCTTGTCTATTTGGTACAAATTTTGCAATCGATTTTATACTAACATCCCGATATGCTAGAGACTTGAAACTTGAAACATAGCTCAAAAGTGGATGACGATGCAATATTATATCATTTTATTTTCATGTTTCTCTTGGGCTGCGCCCCACAGGCTTCCAAATTTTCAATGTTTACATTTTGGAAGAATGTAATTTTATCAGTTGAAGTCAGCTGTAAATACTTTAATTTGACAGTATGTTCAAAGAGCAGAGGTTAAGAGGTACAGTTTCTGCTCCTGAGACATTCAAAAGTATTAGGATTATGAGAATAGTAGCAACAACAGCTGATTAAGGTTAAAAAGGGGTTTGTTATGTATTAACAGGTTACATAAAATAGATTTAATATACAGGGTTAGTAAAAAGTGTGGAGAACTCCTGTTATTTTTTTAACGGCCCATACTAGAAAAACTAAACTCGGCACACCTTTATGACATGTTATGCAGTACTTTTTGGGCATAACCGTCACTTGGTGTACATCCCCAAAATGGGGGATTTTGGAGGAAACTCAAAAATTTCAAATACAAAGACCCATCGAGTGACCCCTCATTTTGAAGGTCCTGGTAAAAGAAAACCAACAACACAAACTAGAGGTCTTTATCTCAATCCAGTAAAAATGGCAGCCAATTGAAATTCTCAGAAGTTCAATTTAACTTACAGCTTTCCAAGTCTGGAGACCTGCTGTAAATTTTTTAGCGGCTCACACTAGGAAAACTTAACTCTACACACCTTTTTGGCATGTTATGAAGTACTTTTTAAGCCTAATAGCCACTTGCTTACCATACCCAAAATGGGGGATTTTGGGGGAAACTCAAAAGTTTTAAATGATAAGCCCCATCAAGGGACCCCTCATTTTGAAGGTCCTGGTAAACGAAAACTAACAACGCAAACTAGAGGTTTCTTTCTCAATCCAGTAAAAAATGGAAGCTGATTGAAATCTTTAGAAATTTCAAATAACTTGCAATTTTATATTCAATTAGCTGCCATATTTTACTGTGTTAAGATAGAGACCTATAGTTTGCGTTGTTACTTTTATTTTATTATGACCTTCAAAATGAGGGGTCACTCGATGGGGCTTATCATTTAAAACTTTTTAACTTCCCCCAAAATCCCCCATTTTGGGTTTGGGAACTTATGAGAATTTCAATTGTCTGCCATTTTTTACTGAACTGAGATAGAGACCTTTAGTTTGCGTTGTTGGTTTTCTTTTACCAGGACCTTCAAAATGAGGGGTCACTCGATGGGTCTTTGTATTTGAAATTTTTTAGTTTCCCCAAAATCCCCCATTTTGGGGATGAACGCCAAGTGGCGGTTATGCCCAAAAAGTACTTCATAACATGCCATAATGGTGTGCCGAGTTTAGCTTTTCTAGTATGGGCCGTTAAAAAAAAACCAGGGGGTCTCTACACTTTTTACTAACCCTGTATTTACACATTAAAGACTAAAAAGTATAAATAATTTAAATTTATAAATATGTGGGGAGAATAAATACTTGTAAGATTTAAAACGAAAAACGTGGGGTGCATGCAATATATTATAATAGTTCAATAGGTGAAGATCATAATTAATTGTAAATTAGCTATTGCATGCACCCCACGTTTTTCGTTTTAAATCATACAAGTATTTATTCTCTATACATATTTATAAATAATTTTCTACGTTTTAGTTTGTTTAAAAAACGTGGTATTTTAACAATTTTTTTAAATTCATAAATTATGTATGTATTTGATTATTTAATATTGAAATGCATTTAATTTTAAAGTGAAACTTTAAATGGAAGTGACCAACCTATTAATTGGTGGAACTACTTGACAATGACTAAGAGTAATTACTAAATTTGAGTGCTCCACAAGGAACACAATTAAGTTATGAGAAACCCCAATTCTATTTCGTTTCTATATCTGCTATAGCAGGGGTTTCCAACCTACGGCCTGCAGGCCATCCCACATCCAGCCCACAAACAGATTTTATCCGGCCCTCAACGGCCTTCTGGTAATTTATTATTTTTATATAATTGGTATTAACTATCAATCGATGATCGTCAGAGTTGCGGTAACGCTCGAAAGTAAATGTTTCAGTCTGTGCTATAAGATGCAATAAAGCATTCCACCCTATCATGCAGATGCAACTGATCCATATATATTTATCAGATTTATTACCTGTGTATATCGAACTGTGAAGATTGTAAGGGACTCATTTAACATCCCAGCAAGAACTCTCTGAGCTGTTTTGGGAGGAACTGTGTTCCAAAGATCTGACCTTGTCCCTACAAAAAAACTAGTATTAAATTATAACACTGTGACCAAGTGTTAAACATACACACACATTAGGGCCTATACAAATTTTAAACAATTATTTATGCTTTTGTGAAGACGCCTTTTTACGAACTTTAAGAATAGATAACTGATTTATTTTAATCCAATTTAAAAATGTTTAGCGATATTAAAGGAGCAGTAGACGTATGAAGGAGAGAGCAAGCCGCATTCAAGCGTAAGATGATTAATACCTTACGGATTGTAATTGAACTAAGCTCTGATTATCAAACACTTATTTTATCTGTCTTTTGTGAAAAGACTTCTACTCCTTTCCCCCAACTATATGGTGATATGGTGGCAAAGAGACTTGAAGACATTGATTTTGTCCACAACTTATGCATTATGACTCATAGAAGAACATGCATGGAAGACAAGCTGAAGGACCTTGATAATGAATGTAAGAAAGTTGGTTTGAAAATAAACTGGAGAAAGGAAATGAGAATTAATGCAAGGTACAGCCAACAACTGGAACTATATAGCAAGGCCATCGAGAAAGTTGAAGAATTCCTCTACCTAGGAACTAATAGATGTTTATAAATTACCTTGTTACTGTCAAATGATTCTTAGTAGTTTACAACTACGGCTGTATCATGCTGTAAAAAATAAAGCACATCTTCAGTTTTGAATGTGCTAATGATCCCTCAGGGTGGAGTCTGTCTGAAAATTAAGTTTAAGAAAGGGCCATGTGGCCCTAACTTAGCCTGATTGAATAAACGATTTTTCATTTAATTTCATTTCAAGATATACATAAAACGGAAATAAAAAAAAACTGTTCTATTTCTAATCCAAGAATATTAATCACACATCTTGCTTCAACAAACTCTATTTCAAAACTAAACCAATGTTTACAAAAACATGTTTACAAAAATCATCTGACAACAAAACATATTTAAACACAAATAAATCATATGATAAAAAGAACAGACTTAATACAACATCCCGCCTCAAGATGTCCACATCTTTATGAACCTCAGTACTACCTTGGTTTCTTGATGGACCTTCCGTAACGGGTTACTGTGCCAGCGCCTGGACGATTAAGGACCATGGATGAACAGTTTGAAAGAATACCATCTCCTCCGTAGTACGGTGCAGGAACTTCCAGTTTTGGTGAATGGTTCTCTTGTCAGTTTCCACAAGGTAGGAGCGAGGTTCGTTCAATTTCCTGACTACCTTAAAGTGTCGACGTAGATCTGTGATCCAAACCATGCTTCCAACTTCTAATTCACTTAAACCACTTGCTCCATGTCGTTTATTAAATTGTATCTTGTACTTATTCTGGTACTTATTCTCCCTCTCAAAAAAATTTTGTTTTCCACAGGATTTCAACCAAAGTAGATGGGAAATTGTCTCCTTATTTCCTTCCAAACATAAGTTCAGATGGGGAAAAGCCAGTTTCAAGAGGTTATGTCCAGTAAGAAAGCAGGGCAAGTTGAAATTTATCCTTGTTTTTCTTTATTAACCCTTTTGCTACTTTCACAGCTGCTTCAGCTGCCCCATTTCCCTGATGGTGGTGGGGACTACTTCAGAATGTGGAGAACCCCCACTCCTTTGCAAACATTTTAAATTCACTTGAGTCAATATGGTGAAACTGTGTCCCACTATCTGAATAGACAAGTTGTGGAATTCCAAAACGTGAAAATGTGGTTTTGCAAACCCGAATCACACACCTGAAGCCCTCATTCGATGCATTTCCTCGACTTCAAAGTATCTTGAGTAGTGATCTACGATAACCATATACCACTTGTCTTCGTGTTTGAACAAGTCAACAGACACATTTTGCAACGGGTAATCTGGGACAGTTCTCGGAATCAATGGTTCACTGTGATTAGTTGAATTCTAAATACACACTGGACACAATTTGATTTTCCTTTCTATTTCTTGTGAAATTCCAGGCCACCACATGGTTCCCAAAGCACGTTTCCTTGTTTTTGTGATTCCCAAGTGTCCACTGTGAAGCCTCTCGAGCATTTTCGCTTGTAGTTCTTGAGGTATTATCATCTGAGTTCCTCGAAGCAATAACCCATCAATACAACTTAACTAGTCTTTCACGTTAAAGTATTCTTGAATCTCATTAGGTAAACTTGATTTTCTAGGCCGTTCGTCTAAAATTTGTAACTTAAGTGGTGCACAGACTGATTTCGTGGACGAAGGCTTCCACTTCTTCTGTCAATTCACCATCTTCATTAGCCGGAATAGGACTTCTCAATAGTAGATCTGCTATAGCAGATCAGGAAACATTTAAAACGGTCACTTGCCCATGTGCACGCAAGCGCTTCTCTCTCAATGTTACTGTAGTTTTCTTCAGCAGGTGTTAGAGTCCGAGATATATATGCCACAGGTTTCTTGTTTTCTCTTAAAACTTGAAGTAAAACCGCTCCAAGACCTTTTTTTGAAGCATCACAAGAAAGAATCGAGGGTTTTAGTGGATCGTAAACAGTCGAACATGGCTCTGATGATAAAATCTGTTTACTGTGACAAAAACTTTTTCTTGAGTTAGTCCCCAACAGAAATAATTTTTTGTATTTAACCCTCCGAGTGTTATGTGTCGTAAAAGCGACTCATAACACACTTTGTGTAGTGTTTTGTGTCGCTTTTGCGACTCACAAACACTGTTTACGGCGAAGGCTCTATGACTGACTAAATCGGATTGAACTGGATCGAGTTAGGTATCGTTTTTTTTTTTCGCAGATTCTAAGCTTTCTCCCGAGGTCTGTCTCTTAGCGCTTTTTTTTCTCGAGCCGATCATAATTGTAGCAGACAGCTGACGTGCGTATTTGTAAACAGCTTGGTTAACCTCGCACCAATGACTGATGTGTTTTATTACGTTTATCATTGTTTTAGTGTTAAAAATCAAAAGTAGTGATATACGTGGTGCATTATAAGAAGATTTAAGTGATTTTGAAGGGCTGGTTGATGATCCTGAAGAAGTAGGTAGTGATATTGATGGAGATTATCAGCCAGATTCCTAGCTATGGTTAGGCTATGCATTCTTAGCTAAACGCTATGTACCGAAATCTGCTTTTTGCCCATAACTTATTTATTTGCAAATCTACTTCCTTATATTATTATATTTTTGGAATCCTCATAAAATTCTGAACAAAGGGGCTATTTTAAAATATTTTTAGACCTTTAAATTATAACAATTTATCGAGCGCAAACATAAATTTTTTCATTTATTTTATAATTTTTGAGAAATGTTAACCCCACAAAAATTGTTGAATATTTTTTTTCTAATGTTTTATACGTTACATTGAAGCCCATAATTTTCCAAACAAAATGATATACAAGGTGTCCCGGAACTCTCTACCAATATTTTAGGGCATTGCTCCTGGGTAAGAAACATACCTAAATATCATATTTAAATTGTCCGGAAGTCCTTAGCTACTCACACAGCCGCCATTTTGTTTTTTTTTAGTTATTAATTTTTTTCTAAAGAATGGTTAAACTTACGAAATTGAAACTTTGCACAAAAATTTATGACAACTAGACAAAGCTAGCAAAAAATTATGACGATTTTTCCAATTCATAAAACAAAATGGCGGCCATTTAAAATCTTGTTTCTTAAATAACTCGAAAACCGTTGATTTTACAAAAAGTTTACAAGAATAACTTTTTTAAGGCAATTTTAATACACATTGATTGACACCTTATTTATTAAGATTGGACGAGTATTAACTGAGATATGGCAATTTTAGTGATACGTGACCTCTGAAGGTTAGTTGGAGCGCATGCTGAAAGCGGTCACTTATCACTAAAATCACCATATCTCAGTTAATACTTGTCCAATCTTAAAAACTAAGGTGTCAATCAATTTACACAATCAATACAGTTTATCTATATTTCCATTCAGGGAGTCGTTAGACCCACCAAGTATTACCACATACTTATTTCTCGCTTGAGCAGCTGTGTCCAACACTTGCAGCAGTCCCGCGTTCGGCATAACCATACTCTCTGATGCCATAACACTCCCATTACTCATCATGTTAACTTTCTCAGAAATCCCTCTTCCTTGGCTGTCAGATATTATTGAGAGTTTTTTAATGACATTAACCCCTGACACCTTCTTAGGTGTGTGGAGCTTTCTTCTGCAGGAGTTCGCCAACTTGTTAGGAAGAGTGGTTGTCATCGGTTCTTTTGCAACAGCAGGTAACACCAACAAAGATGTATTAGTGGAGGCAGAACCATCATGAGTTTTGTCATTGTTTTCCAGGATAGCAAACTTGTTTTTACATGGGATCGGGATGTCAAGCTGTGAGGCTTGCAGTTTTGGGGCCCCATCCTTTACGAATGTCCATTCATCATCATCAGACTTTTTCTCTTTTGATTTTGGTTCCTGGTTTGATTGAGAGTTTATAGGATCCTTATTTACAAAAGACTTAGAGGGTGTTATTGAAGACTTAGCTGTCTCTCTAGAAGAAATTTATTTCTATCCACCAGAAACCATTCTTCAAAAGATGACAGCTGGGGAAAGCAGAAATAGTTCAAAATATATTTTGCATTTGCAAGCACATTAAGCCCACACTCATAGGAGTTGCGTTGTTGTTGACAGGGCATTTCAACAACTGGTCCGATTCCAAGATTTGAAGATACAACTATTGCAGATTTGTTATTACAGTTACCTAATGAGTCAAAGTGGTATGACTTCTTTGAAGCACGGTTACAAAATAGGAGGCTCCAATGTGAACCAGAGCTCATTTTACAAGGGTCCATAGAGTCATTGATGCAACAGAAAATATATTTGCATTGATCAGAATTCAGGAAGGGAAAATCTTCTAGGGCTGTTTTGTTGGTTCTGAATTTAAGCATATGAGTTTCAGGAGGGCCAAGAAAAATTATGTCATTTCGAGTTCTGGAAGCACTCTCAGACATTGAATCGAAATAAACTGAAAGGACACAGTCATCAGCCCACTTGTCTTTACGCCAAGACTTTTCTCTGTTAATTAACATGGTC